TCTTGGACTTGGGGAGAGGCTACACGAATATGAAAGTCTTTTCTTCGGAACTGTATTGTGAAGCTTAGAGGGGGAGACAATGAAACGGAATAGCTACAACTTGGAGATAAAGGCACTCCACAAGGTTCTGTTCTTTCTCCAGTACTTTTTAACGTATGCATGATAGGTCTTTCCAGAGCTTTTAATAAGATAGAGAATATTGAACACACTGTTTATGCTGACGATCTCACCATCTTATCTCGCAGGGGAGGGAAGGTCACATACAGGATGCATTAAATCAAGGAGTCAGGACAGCGGAGGAATACCTAAAGCTCACTAGGCTAAAATGCTCCTTACACAAATAAAAGCTACTTTTGTACTGAAAAGGAAAAGGGGGAAGACCAAAAGGTTGGCAATCACTGTCCAAATGCAAGATCAAATTATGCACCACCAATGGGGACGAAATCCCCAGAGTGGATGAAATTAGAGTCTTGGGATATTTTATCAACGCTAAAAGAGGGAACAACACAGTGTCTAAAAGGATCATGCTCAAAACAGAAAACGCGTGCTGACTAATCAAAAGACTTGCAGGAAAACATAGAGGAATGAAGGAAGGCAATCTTCTGCGGTTTGTCAACTGCTTCATCTTCGGTCATGTCTTATATTCAGTGGCAATGTATAACTTGTCGCAACACCAAGCACGAAAGTTGGGCGCTGCTATCAGGAAAGTAGTCAAGAAAGCACTTGGCCTAGCTATGTGCACTAGTACAAGCAGCCTGTTAGACGTGGGTATTCACAATACTCTAACTGAAATAGGGGAAGCACAAAGAACGTCACAGCTAATGCGACTTTTTTCAACTAAGACAGGCAAGGACATTTTTGATAAAATTAAGATCAATCCCACAATAGCAAATGAAACCTACGTTGAATTACAGAAACAAATTACAGGTAATATAGTGGTTGCTCCGTTACCTAGAAACATGCACGCTACATACAATCATGGAAGGAGGGTTGCTCGCGCTAAAGCTTCGATTCAGAGACTCGAGAGAGCAGGGAAGGGTGCCTGCTTTGTGGATGCTGTAGAGTACGGGGGCCGATCCAGCTACTCTGCAGTTGTAGTAAATCACAAAGGGGACTGCATAAACGCTGCATCAGTTAACACCAATAAACCCGAGATCGCAGAGCAAGTAGTGATAGCCATGGCATTGATGAACAATAATTGCACGGAAATTTATTGCGACTCCAGGCAGTCAATTACTGCTTTTAGCAGGGGAAGGTTTGCTCCACAGACGGCTAGAGGGGTCAGTACAATAAAAAGCATGGATATTAAGTACATGTACTGGTTCTCAAAACACATAGGTTGAATCGAAAGCCTACAAATCAATCCAAACGGGTTGGCCAACACGTTGCCCGAGATCTCACCAACCGGCAGGTTGATACAAATGGCCCTGACTCCACTGGATTGATTCCACTACAAAAAGAGAAACTCACCATGTGTAATGAAATCACTAAACACTTCTATCTGGGCAGAGCACAAGCCCTAACGGGTAGACAACTACAAACAAAATCGCACTACTCACCGGTTCAGATCGGAGTGGTATGGAGCGGAAGAAATAGTAATCACATGCAAAACCTGCAACGAAAATGCATGCACATTAGACCACATCCTCAAGGACTGTGGTTCACTGGGTCCCGGTATTTAAGCGTGAACGCTTCGAAAGGCTCATCAGATCACCAGCTCATGACAATCAAATTCTGGCTGTCCAGTATGCCCACAACAGGGCCAGGAGGCTTGACCTCCCTGTTTAGACATAAGAATAGCCAGGCTATTTGTGCCATGTACAGGATAAAAAATAAAGTTTTAAAGCAGAAGAAAAAGATTTTACGAATGACCGCATCGCCCAGTGGCCAGCGGACCTGAAAGAAGGCAAGAGCGCATTCTACTTGCATGCAAGGTGGGAAAGGAAGGCTTCTGCAGCAACCCTTATATTCTCACTTTTTCATCTTTTCTCTGTATTTCAAGACGTCACCAGTGATATCATGAAAGAAATTTTCTGTTTGGGATTTATTTCTAGTAAGATGGCCGGCAACTGCCAGTGGTAAAAAGCGGCACTGCCGCTGCTGAGAGCGTATACAAGGAAGGCGTAGGGAGTTTCCACCCCCTGCCTGCGCAGTGAAACGGCACTTACGAACAGACATTAATACTGGCACGGAGATGGTATTGCCCCCTTGTGGATCAAGGCTCGATGCAAACCCCCTATACTTTCTTAGGAAACCCCCCTATTTCTCTATTAATGGGATTACAAGACTATATTGCAGTCCTACACTTAGTGTACCTAAATGTGTTGGCTGCGACTGAATGAGTTTTTTTTTCTTCTCCCTTATATGTTTTATATATATGTATTTACGAATGCGCATTATTGTGCAATTACTTACATTTTACTGTTCAAGCTGCTGTGGCTTCCTGCAGAAGCTATTGTATAGTTATTGCAGCATTCTCAAGGTTGTCTTTTCCTGACTTCTTATCAGTGTATTATTAAAATTTGTTTTCCTCTTTTTTATGACATTTTATTTGACACTTCAACGCGTGTTTCTCCAGCAATGATCCTGATTGGGATCGGCTGTATTCTTGAATGAATAAATAAATAAATAAATGAAAATACTAGAAAAATCTCAAACACTTTTGTAAACTTTAATTGTATTGTAATCTTGACAAGTTATTAAGACTAGATTTTATAATTGTGATGTTTAATTACTTTCTGTAAGTACAATAAAATTGGTCATTTTGTAAAATTTTAGAGTGAAAAAATTCCAGTTTTCGCATGCCACTTTGAGTCCTTGAAGAACTTGCAACAGGTTCTGGAAAGTCCTTGAATATCCTTGAATTTTTGTTTTCAAATACTGTACGAACCTTGTCTGAGGACCGCTAACACTACATGGTGTATACAAATAGCTTGTCATTAACAGGCTAAGCAATATGTGTGTTGTGGTCTAGTGGCTTGCGTCGCGTGTTGAGAAATGAAAGGTCGCTGGTTTGAAGCCTCGTTATAAAACCTTTTCTCCTCGTTTTTTCTAGTAATTTGTTCGTATACATTTTATGTCTTATTCATGACGGAAATACTCATCGGAGCCTTGGTGGGCCCCGACACAAAACACTTTCGTGTTAAAATGGCCTTTATGATAAAAGTATCTCCAAACCTTGGTGTTTTTGGTAAACCAATTACGTTTCATCATACCTATAAAGTAACAAGAAGTGGGATAAAACCATAAAAGTTATTTAAAAAGAAAACAAATGTAATAATGTTAATATGTATTAAGTTTTATTATCTTCAGTGTGAGTTTGTAGTAATAAATTTTTAAAATACAGGTATTTTGTACAGTTAGCCATGCTTGTGATTTTTTTTTCCTTTCAAGTTTTTCGATTCGTAAGAATAATGATTGGCTCACAAAACTATATTACTTGTTCAGTCTTTCATGAGAATAAGTATTGTGATTAAAAAGTGCATCGTTTTTTACTTATGTGCACTAAAAGCAGAGAGTGGTTGGAAAGAACACCGTTAGCTCTATGTCCATTATGCTGGTAGTGTTGCTTTTGTGTGCCAACTGGCAGTGTCGCTGGTGTGCAGCTGGTGTGCAACTAGCAGTGTTGCTTTTGTGTGCTTCAGTTGACTGCTGAGGTAGCTAGTAACAGCCATGATAATTCAGTGGTGGGAAACCTGCGCAAATTGTGCCATTCGGAAATTACTGTGCCACACTGCTCCAAAATGGTCTTTTTTCTATAATTTGCACCATTGCTGCACGACAAGGTGGTTTTGAAACAGAAAGAAATGTTGACAGCATGCATCGTGAGCGGATATTACGTGATGGTAACCATCTTTTACACTTGCTCGGCTGCCATGGAGGAATTGGCTGACCAATTATTGGTACTTCCGCACAATTGTGGCAGTGCTTTTTCTGGTAAGCATTGGCAAAGAACGAAAGTGATGTGGCGACTACAGAAAAACGCGCCAGTATGACTTATCGCCGATAAAAGGTCTGTGTGTGGCATAGTGCCGCTTTAAACCTACTGCACGCTTTTAATAACTGACGACTACTTGAGAATGCTGAGGTGCCGATCGCTGCCGCCTCAATGGTTGTGGGGAATCGTGTTCAGCATACACTGCTTTGCTGAAACGAAAGCAGCTTGCTCTTGTGGATTTGAGCATTGCGAATCGCGGGCACCAAGACAGCAAGCGTAGCTTCATGAGGTGACTGCCCAAATGCGCCTCTGTCTGTTTATGTACTTGGTGGTTATTGCATACTACATTTAGTGCATAGTTAGCCATGTTCCCTGCCGATTCTCAATATGGATGTTCGTATTAACGAGGTTTTACTGTAACAAGCTTTGAATGTGCCGTGTTTGCGTGCATGTGTGTTTGTGTGTGCACGCTCACTACTATGAACTTCATGCTGCAGCCAGTTTGTTGGTGCAATATCCTTCAGTATCTATTACCACCGTTTCTATACATAATTCCACTTCTGTTAATTTTATAAATTGTGTTTATTTAGTGGGCTTGCTGCTTCTGTATGAATGATTATGTAAACTAAGGGAACATTAAACTAATTCAAGCTAAACTTTCTTTTTCTGTGTGCGTGTCATGGAAACCCCATGGGTACTCCAAACTAGGAGGTAGCTTCTCTAAAAGCAGGTTTAATCTGCACCACTAGCTGCTCCGAAATGCTGTAAGGCATCCTACCCCTGATAATGTCTTTTGAGACAGTGCTAGCTGTGTTTCAGTTTTATAGATATTCCTTTGAAAATGGCACATAAATCTAGGCCTATCCTAGAGTTTGGTATATGAAATAAAAACAAAAAAAAACTGTTGGCCTAGATTTAAGTAATTACAATAACAAGCCTCATATCACAGTGAAATAGGCTGTTTTGTCATTGTAGACATAAGGTAGTTTTAATATATGTTTTTCTGAAACTATATGCTTTAATTCTGGTACGCAACCATGTGTGTGATTGCCGTCCTGTGCAGGTGCTGTCAGTGATCAAGCGCTACGAAGAGAGCATCGATTACATCCACATGTCGGACCAGTATTCAGGGCCTCGGCTGCAGGAGTAAGTTGTGCAGGCCACAACCTGTGCTACAGTTTGTTGCATAGTCCTGTGTCTTCAGCCGATGTGGAGAAGTGGTGGCACTGGCCTCTATTAATTTCGCCCTGAAGAGATCGATGAAATAGACTGAAACACCTGGTGGGTCGAGTTAGGCAAAAACAGGAGATACAACAAAATATATGCCGCTGACTCATTAGGCGAAATTCGATCCAATTTCAATTCATTCAAAGTGAAAAAAAAATCCCAAAATGCCATTGAAGTGGCTTAGCTACGCAGGCACCTGCTTAAATTTTTTAAAAAAAGAACAATTTTTTTTAGCTAACGTAATTTTTTTTAATGCTTGCAGTATATTCCCCCAATAGCTTTTCTGGTCACAAAACTGCCGCTTGCCTGTGCGTGTGTGTCTCTCTCTTTGTGTCCTTTTCGTGGTGCACTGTACCCATATAAATGACATCGCTGGAGTCTAATATGGAGCTAGCAGCGGCTGTTAGGGGCACCACAGTAAAAGAACGGCCACTTTGCGGAGTGGCCACTGCAGGTGATGCTTGTGTTTTTTTTTTATTCTGTGATACGTCGCAACCGTAACACCCGCTTTTTTAGACAATATATGCATTCTGTTTTGTTGTAGCAATTTCGCCAGCTAAAAGTGGAAGTTCTGAGATTATCATAGTGAGGACTAGTTGCACAAAAAGGTGAATCTCAAGTTCAGCTAGCGGCTCACTATGCCAGCAGACAAGGTGCTTAGGCCTTTTTGTTACTGCGAAATGTCTTTATGCAAAAGTAAATATTCAGCTGGCAGCTCGATGTACCAGCAGATGGCACTCATAGACCTTTTTGTTATTGCAAAATGTCTTGAGGTGGCCCAAAAGTCCTCAAATCATAATTATGACAAACTGACGTGGCTGTGATGTGCTGGGCATCATTTTTGAGCAGCCTCACGCTATGCCATTTGGGGGCACCAGTAAGCTGCGCTGAAGCAATATCATTTTATCATGCACCAACTCGCCCAGTCAGCAGGACTCTTATAGCCGTTGAAGAGGTGCTATCACTCCTTGTAAAGTCGTTTTCACCTTGTGCAAATGTTTGACGTGGATACGCCACAATCAGGTAAGTGTCGCAGCACTCATGAGAGTTCAGCCTCTGAGTGGTAAGTGTCGCAGTGTTCGCGAGAGTTAGTTCACTACCATCATCATCATTATGGTTAGTGTGGCAGCGCTAAGAGTGGCGCCTGGCGGCACATGAGACATGAGAGGCTCTCTCCGGCACATTGGGGCTGGCGCGAGTGGTAGTCTCTCAAGGTGGGTCCGTGGAGACGGTGCCCCAGGCCGTTTCCTGTGGGCCCCTCAACTCCTCTGGGTTTCCTGTGGGCACTCAACTAATGCTCGACTCCCCCTGGTGGGGAGTCGAGCATTAGCAATGCTGCTTTCGCATTACCTTGTATGGGTTCGGTATGGTGATTGAGTGCTTTGCAGTATTGTAGAAGGTTGTTTAGCGGGCCACTAGTGAGATGTTAATATGTATATGTGAAATCTAACAGGCAATAATGATAAGGAAAGCATAGGGGAAGTTATCAGACCGAGTTGTAATGCAAATGTGAAGACAGAAAAGTGGGTGAAAAGATAACTTGCCGTGGGCAGAAACCAAACCTGCAACCTTCGAATAACGCGTTCGATGCTCTACCACTGAGCTACAACAATGGCTGTCCTCCCAGCCACTTTATTTGTTATATATCTGAAATTAAATGTGGGAGTGTCAGTCAGTGCCACCAGTAGCCATGGCGGCGAGTGGAGCACACTCTTTATAAGCCTGTGGGGCGTCACGTAGCACGTGAACTTATTACGAGCTGGCAGCTTACCAATAGTCCCTCGTATAAAACCTAAAGGCACCAAGTCTGCTAGTACGAGACCCTCGTTAACGAATAAGGGAAAGAAGTGTATACTTAAGGGCTCGTTTTTTCATGTTTTGACACAATAATAATGAAATCTAACAGACAATGATGCCTAGGAAAGTATAGGGTAAGTTATTAGGAAGTTATTAGACCGAATCTAATGCAAATATGAAGAAAGAAAAGTGGTTGAAAAGATAACTTGCCGTGGGCAGGAACCAAACCTGCCTTATTCGAAGGTGGTGCTTTCTTGGTGTCAATTTCTAGGACTTTGTAATCATAATCTCTGGCATAACGATTAAAGGCTCAGCCAAACCGGTGGTTATCATAGGTGAATGGGTAAATACAGACTAAGAATAATTAATAAACGTATTTTCTGTAATACTTTCATTTGTTACTACTGAGCCATTCATTTCTATTTTAGTGGCTCGATCCTCTGGTTTCGATAAATGCCTCCAGAACTTCCGAGGTTCGTTCTTCATAAAATTCACTAAGGTATTTGAAAAGAAGTTGTTTCTTGCAGTTCTGACTTCAGACTTCAAAGTCCGTGATAGTTCACATGTGTCCTGACAGGTATTCTTTTTATTTCTCATTCTTTTTATTTTCTGTTTTTAAAGGTGGATAATGTGACGTGCTATCCAAGTAGGCAAACTTCATATTGTCCTGAGTTTGTGGGTTGAAGGTTTCTTCCACAGTAAATGATAGCTTCTTCTAATTCCAGTGACAATTTATTAACATTACCGTACCACTCTCTTGGAAATTCATCGAAGGCTTCCTCCAAATAATCTACTACGCTCTCATCAGCAGCCCGATTGTAATCTTTACATTTCAGTATGCGAGGGTTTATTGTGATGACCAGTAACCATATCTGTGCTACGCACTGACAACACTAAAATCTTGTGATCTGAGATATCATCATCTACGGTTATACTTGCTGATAAAGATCCTGACATGAAAGCAAGGTCTGGCACTGATGAGGTGCTTCTCTGCACACGGGTCAGTACTTTGAAAACTTGAGTTAATGAAAAATTGAACATTTTATTAAAAACTTGCTCGGAACTTTGCTTATCTTTTGTTCCCACAGTTGAATCTTTCCGATGATTTATGTCCGGTAAGTTGAAGTCACCTGCTCGCATTATCTCAGTTCGTGAATCTGTCAGGCACTGCAAATAATGATGCACCTACACTAGGTAATCTTCTGGTGCTTCTGGGCATCTATAAATAGCTGCTGAAGTGTTCCGAAGCTTGACCGTGCACCATGTACTCTCGTGATCTATTATGCCTGTTTCTCGTTAAAAGCATAAGTGATTTTTAATAGCAAAAAGTCACTCCTTCTTCCCACCTGTTTGAATTTGTGTGTAACAGTGTATCAGTGTATATGCGGAGGGGACTACCTCTGAGTCATGGATTTCAGGATGAAACCAAGTTTCTGTCATTATGATAACGTCTGGAAAGTAGAGCAATATTATTTACTTTCAGCATTATTAATGATACTGAGGCCATTAAACAAATCACTAAAAGCAAGGCAGGATTTTCATTTCATCAGGCAGTCGTGCCACTAGAGCTCGTCACAATGTCTTGCTTACCCTGCCTTACCCTGACTCACTCAATTTCTCGATTGTTCCACACATACAGCTGATTGTTCACTTTTACTTTGTCAAATACAAGGGCTACTTTTTCACCGTTCGCACGGTCATCTTTGGCTGACAGCTATAGTTTTTTGCACCTTTCACGAACTTTGGCCTAGTAATCTTCCGATAGTGATATCTAAGTGTCTTTCAGCTTAAAAATTGCACAAGATTGTCAGCTATTCTGCGGAATCATAAATGTGCAAGATCACTGGGCGTTCTTGAATTTATATTTTAGCGCAAACTCGATGATACGCCCCAGCGAACGTACTTCAATGCCCAATATGTCTCTGATAACGTCTCCCCCAAGTTTTCGTTGAATTGTTGCATTATCCTCCTGTACAGTTTTCTCCAAGCCATAGACAATGATGTTATTTCTTCGACTGCAGTTTTAAGTTATAAATTTTTTTGCTGATTTGGCTGAGATCTGAGAGCATTGCTTTGACTGCTTCTATGCACTCATCAACTTTTTCATGGTATTGTTTTAAAGAAGACAATCCGATTTCTACTTGCGTTAGCCTTTGCTGTACACTTTGAAGTCCATCTTCAAGGGTAGCCCGTGAAGACCTAATTGAAGTGACCATGGCAAAAATTTTGTCCAGCTTACCACGACCTGGGTTTTCCTCGACATCACCACTAAGTTGCAAAAGCATTTGGGCAACAGAAAGGGACTCGTAGCAACAAGATAGCACCAACTTTGGGCTTGGCAGCACAATAAGGCCTACGTAATTACTTTTTACACAATTTGTAAAGGACCATTTCTCACTAACCTGGACAAAGAAGAGCAAGAAGTTAAACATAGTGCACAGAACCATGCTGCCCAGCTCACTGGTCTGTCTGTTCCACTATTCCTCATTTTTAATCATTTCCCACGATGTTATCGACGCCGCTGGTAGTCCAAAGAATGTGTCCAGGCGGAGAGCTGTTTGCAGCGTTTCCTTGTAATGTGGCAGTGTCAGCAGGGGCTGTGAGGCGAGGCAACATAGGTTGAAAGACGGTTGTTGAACTGTGGCGATCGAAGAGCAAGGTTAAAGGACCATTGCTTGATGAACATACTTCCACAAGCACCTGGACAAACAAGAACATGAAGTTAAACATCGTGCGCAGAACGAAGCCACCAGGCCCACTGAAAGGGGCATTCCAAAACGTCTGTGGCTCCACTTTCACTTGGAAGCAACAGGAAAAATTGCACACATAAATTCCATGGCTATTTGAAAGTTTCTGGTCCTGTTGTGCATGTGAATTCGATTCCTATTGAAATGCATACTTTCATCATTATTTTAGGTGGACAAACTCAACTCGCTGCCTCAGATGAATTGTGGTGAATCGCCGTCAAAACATTGCCCAGCTTCGTCATCCCAAAAGTGTACATCTCACCAGGAACTCTGTAGACTGACGTCATGAACTTCTTGCTGCATAACTTTCGTACGGTGTGCCTACAGGATGACCCAATAATAATAATAATAATAATAATAATAATAATAATAATAATAATAATAATAATAATAATAATAAGTGATTTATTTCAGACATAGAGTGGGGTTTTGGATGGCAGGGCAAAAGGCAGAACATTGTCTGCCTGACTAAGACCATGCCATTTTTTGAGAGAAATATGCTTCCTTAGTGTGCAGGGTTTGTTTCAGAAGGAGGATATAACAGAGAGATAGCACAGGGTACTCCTTCTGCAATATCTTCCTTCTGAAATGTTCCCTGCACACTAAGGAAGTACATTTCTCTCAAAAAATGCAATACCAACCAGTCCAAGTAGCCATTCATTAGAAGGCCATGCCACGCATACATTTTTCAGTGTGGCAGCATGCAGTGGCACAGAACACAAGAGAATACATGAAGTTCGTGCAATAAAGTAACAAACTGTATTGCAAACATAACTATGTTACATGTAAATGACAGAGAAAAAAAATATCGCCCCGCTGCGGTGGTTTAGTGGCTAAGGTACTCGGCTGCTGACCCGCAGGTCGTGGGATCGAATACCGGCCGCGGCGGCTGCATTTTTGATGGAGGCGAAACTGCTATAGGCCCATGTGCTCAGATTTGCATGCACGTTAAAGAGCCCCAGGTGGTCGAAATTTCCGGAGTCCTCCACTACGAAGTCTCTCATAATCATATGGTAGTTTTGGGACGTTAAACCCCACATATCATTCATCAGAAAAAGATACTATTAACACAATTTAAAGAAATAATTATTTCGTATACGCTAATACAATTTGTAGTAAAAAAAAAATGGCAGCATATCCACGGAGTGAGTGATTGGGAATGGGGCGAAGCATTCGTCCGTCCATTCGTTCTTGCTTCCGTCCATTCCTGCGTACGTCTGTGTAACCGTCCATGCGTCCATCCACTCGTCCGTGCGTGCGTCTGTTCGTGCGTCCGTCCCTGCGTTTGTCCATGCATCCGTGCCTGCGTCCGTTCATGCGTTCATCCGTGCATCTGTCTGTGTGTCCGTTCGTCCATCTATTCAGCACTCCAAGTACCACCATCTCGCATCTTTTCATCATATATTCTCCATATAGAAGCACCGCCATCCAGCGGACATTTCAAGGACTAAACGGGAGGTAGCACATGCACACTTTCTTACGGCTTGCGCTTCGGGTTTACTTCCCACCTTTAACCACCTCGAGTTCATGGTATATACTAGTTCACTGTATTCATGGCTATGCGGCCCAACGCTCGCTAAACCTCTCTAAAACCAAGGAGGTTACACCCAGCGAGTATAACGTAGCAACCCTTTCTTGTTAGATCGTGCTTAATGTACATGCCAATAGCTGCTAATGGGGATCGCAGCGTGCGCGTTATCTAAAAGCCGAATGCTCCTGTCTCTCATTCCCCCTTAGCAGCCATTGACACGTGCATTGAGCACTATCTTTTATTGTTCAACAACGCACAGAAGAAATCTCTCACCAAAACCACCTTGGAGGTCAAAATCGTAAGGACCGCTATTTCGGGTATGTGCCACTGGTGGTTACGTACTACGAGGGACGCACAAGCCACGCCATAAGGAGATTCGCCCTTAAAAAGTTTACAACCGCAAAGTGGCACTGTCACTGTAGCAAACTAAAAAGATAAATGAGCATACAATACGAATCCAAAACAGGACGTGTAAAAGAAAAAACCTAGCAATGAATTCAGTGACTGACAGAAATTAAGTACCTTCTCATGGCATTTTGCTGTTTTGCGCAATACTTATAGTATTGGGATATGCATTTATAAAGGATGGGATTAAGTGGGTAAGCTGTTTAGTACCGTGTAATGTTCTACTAAAGGGAACTCTAAACGGATCATGCCTGAAATTGTAATCAGTGTTAGTTGAATGATACCTTTGAAGAAAAAGGGTTGCATTTTTTTGGAGTTCACCTCGTATGTATATCGCGCGCCTGAGATAATATAGGTCAGTAATTTTTAGAAGGCCATGTTTTAAGAATACATTGGCCGTATGATCATGGTACCCAAGGTTTTCTATTGTGTGAATTGCTTGCTTCTGAAGATTTATGAGCTGATTCGGATTTGACTTGGATGTGGTTCCCCATATCGGTAGGTAGTAACTAAGGTGAGATTGAATTAATGTGCGATACAAAAGACGTTTTAACCAAATGGGGACAACGTGCCTGATCGAAACAATGTACCAGTTGGCTTACAGGTGCGGAAATTAACCTTCATGACATGTTGCATGAAACTGAGGTTTTCATCAAAAACAACTTCTAGAAACTTGAAACCTGATGTCCATGTAATTAGAGCATTATTAAACTTTATACAAATAGAACAGTTATCCGTTTATTTACAGGCTTAGAAACAACATATTTGGTGTTACTGACATCCAGCTGTAACTGGTTTGGAGAAAGCCAATCATAAAGTTGTTCTAGCCAATGATTAACTGCCGATTTGAGCCCAACCAGGCTGTTACCAGAAAAAAATAAACTTTTGTCGTCAGCATACAAAACTATATTTGGAGTATGGGGTATGTTAACAATGTCGTTTATGTATATTATAAACAAAAGAGAACCTGATACTAGAGACTTCAACGTTAATGTACTTCGACGTGAAAACCAGTTGTTTGTCATGTTTCTCGATGCCGAACTTTGACTTCGTCTCCTGTCAGATGTCACGCAGTCAACTATTCATAACACCAATTTTAGATATTGTAGTTACTGCATTACTGTCAAAGCATAATTGACCATGTTCAATACATGGCATATAGTTCCTGAAATTCCCAGCCTTATTTCGTATAACAGTCCTATGTGTTGCTATTGCATTCATTAATTTGGTCTTGGGCCGAAACTGTGTTTGACTTAGCATAGTTCAATAAATGTTTGTTCTTTTGGTTTCATCAAGTTTTCTGTATCCGTTCGCTCCAAGAGTATGGCCTTAATTTCGAGACCCCACACCGTGTATAGTATAGCCAGAGTCCTTCAATGCTTTATTGGTCACGAAGCTACGGCGCTAGTTTCATATAGGGTCCGCGGGCGCCACTACTGGCACCACCGTCGCACTGAGGGGATCCAGCCGCCGTGCGTGCGGCATATTTGCCAGCTTTTGGCATGAAAACGCTCGCTGCTTCTGGTCTTTTCGCGCTGGGTTTCTTTTTTTCTTTTCGTAGTTATTAGCGATGAATCGCCCAATTATTGTGTATACCACCTGCCTCGAATGGGGTTTTATTTTTTTGAATAAATCGCCGCAGACCTCGGCCACGAACGGCAACTGCTTTCGCGTCTTTGGGCGCAAGCACTGCGCCGTGTTTACCGATTTCAAAATATTTTTGTTTGTTTCCTTCAAGAAAACTTTGTAACCACAACACATACAGTAGCCCCGTAGCTGCGGACTGCTGCGGGCCTATCAATAATGCAACGAAAAAAAAAAAAAAACCTGAAAAGAAGCAGGTACACGTCCTTCAGAGTAGGCTTCTAATGAATCTGTTGAGTGCTCTGGAATGCGCTGAGCACCCAGATACCCCAGTAATATTCTCTTTTCGATGAGGTGGTACAGTAACATTTAAAAGCGCTGCATAAAGGGAAAGGATCAAAACACGAAATGATGTATGTTGCACTGTGTGTCTTTCCGCGAACCCACTTTTCAGTCCTTGCAAAAAAGGAAGCGCAAACTTCTATCACATGCTACAAAAGTAAATTTCAATATTATGAAGGGAGACAAAAGAGTGTGGCGCAGCGTACAAAAATTTATTGTTTGCGCTTTGATGTGTAGCACACGGACGAAACAGAATATTGCCACGCAACAAAGACAAAAGTAAAGTCCTACTGAATGAAGTTTATTAAAGCGAACTCATGCTCTGCAAAAGACTAGAAGGAAACGCAAACGTCAAAGAAGCAGTCTGCAGTGTGGCCTGCACAGAAGACATCGATAAAGTGAGTCACGCGGCATTTGCTATGCATGAATTGTTCTTGGGACGTCATTAATTTTCGATCCATGAAAATAGGGTCGAGACTACTCGAGCAAACAAGAAATTAAGTTAGTGACAAGGTCACAATCTTTCCATATCAACAATATTGCCCGACGCGACGTACAAAAAAAAGAGCAAACGGGCGCTTCAGTTGAAACACCACATAAAAAACCGGAAGCGGCCACGCATGGTTACAAAACAAAAAACGAATCCTGAGCGATAGTTCGTGGAAATATTAAAAGTGAAAGCACAATGACACCAGAAAGGTTTTTTTTACATGCGAGCCTGACCACAAGGTTATAAAGTTTGCAAACAAGTAAGGAAACACAGCTACTATTTTACTGATCAAACAAAAATCCGCCTACAAGTGAGCTATACAATTATAGGTCCAGGAGGCTCGCAAAAGGCTGCTATGCTTTTACACTACTCCTTCAGTTTGGCTTTCTCCCTCCACCAGCTGGGCATGTTGCTCGCTTTGTCACACGTGACTGCTTATTTTTTTAGCGTGTGAAAAAATGCAGGCGGCACCGAAGAAAAAGGTGTAGAACTTCAGCAGTCGTCCCAACAAAGTGGGTGGGGCAGCCGACAGCAGCTGAAGCTGTACGATTGTCCAGCAAAACCTGCTCAACAATGCCCATGTACACCCAGCACACGCAGTTTCCTTCACCGTAAATTCTTCTACATGCTCTTCAGCAATTCGGAGGAGGTTTAGCAGTTTGGTGGAGGGGACCTAAAGGTAACCTCTCGACTTCACAAGAATGAGGTCACTTGGTGATCGTTGCAAGCCTTTTAAAGACTCCACGCAGTCGGTGCAGCACATCTCAGAAAATTTTTGGGCAACATAGCCGGCAAGGTAGTCTAAAATGCACTCCTTTGGAGACAAGTCCGCGAGGGCCTCTTCCTCACTCTCAGTCGGCTCCAAAAGAACGTCATCCAGGAGAATGGCCAGGGAGTCAACCTGAAACGAGAATTTTCTTTGTTTACATGCATGTTCGTTGAAAAATATCATGCACAGGTAAATGATGAACTCTGTGCATATTCTGAGTGAACGTCTGTTTAGCAGCTCTTTGCCGGAAAATATATTCCAGAGGGAGAAACTATCAATAGCTCTTTTGTTTTCAATATGGCATCGTACATGATTGACAGGAGCAGCTTCCTTGCTGAAGAGGTCCTGCAGCTTGAACAGCAACTGCGGCCCGTCACCATCAACTGATGCCCGCTTGGGTGGGCGGACAAGGTTGTTGACCGAAAGCATTCGGTATATGAACAGGAGCTGTTGAATCTTTGGTTGCCCTCCGTCACCAGCAACGTGTCTCGCAATGCCAAAAAACCTCTGAAAGTGAGACAACAGATTAGTCAATGCAGAAATAAAAAAGCTTACATGTTTACCTCAAGACGATCCTGTCCGAAATTTCCAACCAGCACATATCGAAAACCTGAGGCCAGAAGGTTCTCCACAAGTGCGATAGTACTGAGTAGGGTTACTCGCAGCGCTTCAGACGTGGGCTTAGTGAGGAAGCAGGCTTGCCTTTGCTTCGGCAAACTCTCAATGTAATCACAACAGTTGTTCAGCCATGTCACGTTCTCTTTTAATGTCTGAAAAATATTCATGTTACATCTGTAACAATAAATAAAAGCAGGATACCCATAATAACATATAAAGTCTCGAGTGGTATTTCTCGCTGCAATGTGCTCCGCTTCGTTATACTGCACGTGCTCTGGCCTCCGAGAATTCAAGCAGTCAAACAGGCCGTTCATTCGTCTGGTGAATGTCGTGGTCTTCTTTGAATCATGCAGCTTCTTGCACACATCTTGCCTGCTGTAAAACTTCAGTGCAGCAGCTGTAGATTCACTGAACAACTGAAGATAAAAAATCAGTAAGGTGTGGCTGAAGGAGTAGTTTCCCAAACATGCTACCTGCTGCACAAGAAAAAGTCATAATATTACTTGCCTGAACAGCAAGTCACACACTCATTTTCTGGAAGGCATTGGGCATTATGTGGGCTTTTGTCAGTTTAGGCACAGCTCGGAGTCCAGCCTGGTCTTCCTCATACCCCAAAAGGGAGTTGAAATGATCGTGGTAAACGTCACCCTCTGGCAGCTTGAAACAAAATTTCAATTATTGTTGTAAACAATTTGTACAGCAAAGTATAGCATAACCACGCCTCGTTTTTCTTACCAGAAACTTCCCAACCTTTTGAAGGTTGTTTCTTATGCACTTGAAAATGTGCGGTGGGTCGATGACAGTGTAAATCTCTCTTGACGGGTCACAGGGGTGTTGAAATGATGTTTGTGGGTTTTTTCTGTCCCCATGTATGCCTGGAAAGAAGAAATTTCAGCTGTATAACCACATATTACAGTAGTACTCTAGGATTGTTACAAGAAAAAGTTGTTACCCAACGACCTCAAAGCTGACCGGTTGCTTGTAGAATTGTCGCATGTCACAGCCTGGACAACAGCGCCAGAATTTTCCAAGTGCACAATGCACTGCAGCATCAATTTGGCCACAACAGAACCAGGAGCAGCGCTGGAAGCGCAGAATGTTCCCACAGTTTGCGACCAGCCCCCAAGAAACAACCGAAACAGGAACACCAACACATGATCAGCGTCTTTCTCGTTATCCCCTGGCCTGGTGTGTTCAGCAAAGTTGACTTTTCCAAGCAGGGCCATATCAGATTCTCTGACATGCAGGCTTTTGCGAACACTCATCTCATCAAACATGAGTACTCCTGCAAAATAGAAATGGCCAAATGGCTTAGGAACAATGTCAAAAGTCACAGGCACTGCTTTTGATTTTAAATATAGATATTTCTCCAAACCTCGTCGTTCTCTCTCTGGGACCGCTGCAAGCTTTTCATTCAGAACAGCAAACAAGTTTGCATCAAACCCAAAGTCAGCTTTCAGGTTCTTCATGTAAGTGTACAGAGTGCGGGGGTTAGGGAGAGGTAGAAATTCGTTTTCATGAAGGAACGTGTACACAGACGTCGACTTAACCTTCAGAAGGAGACAGTCATAAAGCCATTCTTTCCTGTACCTAAAGATAAAAGTAGGGAACTGTTCTCACATTTCGAAACATGCTACATAGTGGGCCTTTAGGATAAAAAACATTCGTGCAGTGCATTTGGAATTACATGCATGTACATGACACAGACAAGATGCTTTATATGCATGCATAATGTGTGTGCACCAGACACCAAAAATAGGAGAGGGGGCTCATCATACTGAAACACATGCATTAAATAGTAAAGTTGTTTTATAATGGATTTCACATGCATTTACAGTAGTGAAACTGCTAAAAGGATACAAGTGCATTATACCAGGTTCATGCGTAGGTGCTTCAAGAATACCCCATTCCATGACATGCTGTATGCTGCTTTCTAGCTGCATGTGCTGAAAGCCCAATGAACAGCAGGCACAAAGGAACCATGTCCAGGATAAATACATGCGATCTAGCGTTTCTCTGGCATATCGTATGTTATGCAACCATAGCATTTGACACGTTGCAAACATATGCAGCGCATTCTCCAACCTTGTAGTATGGGCAATACGAAAATGTATAAAACTTCATCCGTCTGTAATTGTATTCATCCTCAATAAGCAACAGACACTGCAAAGTGAGACTGTTGGCACGTTAAGGATAAAAGGAATGCTGTGGAAAGCAAACGCAACTTTTATTTGAAACTGCTGGAGTAATAAAAAATAGGGGGTGCTGAAACAAAATCGATGTGGTGACACGCATATGGCCTCTTGAATCAATATTCTCAACATGCTTGAGGAATGTTAACATTAAAGTGTATTTTCAGCGAAGAAGCATGGTGGGGTAATCTAAGAACCGAATTTGACACCGAAATACACCAACACTGCTCCCAAACATCCTACACGCGCTGGCCTGTTTTCTAAACTTACCTGGCAGCTTTCGCAGACTTGGCATTCGCCTTCATCACGCACTGATCAAAAATCAACTTCGTGCGGGTTGACATTTTTTGAAGGCTTTCTTCAAGTTTTTTGTGCTTGCTCGCTTGCACTCTCATCTTGGCCAATTTCGTCTGACACAAGGTCAGCTGTTGTTTCGTTGCCCGAAGTTGGCACTTCAGCAGTTTAACCTCGGCGAGAGGGCTGGTCAATTCATCTGTCTGGCTCGCCGAGTCCGAAGTGCGCGTTGGCCCCTCGCCGACAAGATCTGTGGGCAGTGCAAGATCTGCAAAACAATTTCAAAAATCGTTTCAAATAGCGCATTTTCAGCTCACACAGTCCTTCGAAATTTCACCGATATAATCACTGCATGGGCAAGAAAGTTAAAACAACATTGGACGTAAACTCACCTTCATCACACGACGCGGCACCCGATGTGCCTGGTTTGGCGTGAACTTCTGTTTTACGGGCACATGAGGACGACTCACGATGTCGCTTCGCTGGGGACCTTCTTGTCAGAGTCCATGACCGCTGCTTCGGCTTCGTCAAATACGCTGGCAAGCCGTCAAACTTCCTTGGAATGGCACAAGGCTTCAGAAGGGGCTTGTCGCGCGGAAGTGACACTTTTTCGCCATTCACCACAAATTCATCTGCGCGGACGATGTCACTGTCATCGAAATGCTTCTCGCACACTCTCACATACTTAGAGTCGAAGCAAAAGTCACCCGCTTCTTGCCTTGGAATTAAGCGGTTCCATTTCTCGTGCAGCACGCCGTCGCTGGGTAAACAGAACAAGGAAACTTTTTCTGTTCTGTCCTTGTACCCGGAACGACATCCCGGGACACAACACGTGTTCGGCATCGTCGCTACACTAACACCGCATCACAACAGCACGATATGCACGTTTCCCACACAAAGCAAACAACTCGCAGCGTCGTTCGAGCCAGTGCAACGCCGCCAGACCAGCCCGACGAATCCCCTCAGTGAGATGGTGGCTCCACCGCGCGGCAACGCGTCATATGAAGCACTCCCATTGAGTTATGGAGCAGTTTCGTGACCAGTAAAATTGAAAGACTCTGGTATAGCATAGCACAGCAAGAGATGGGGAAGGGAAGTGATGGTGAGGAGGTGAGAGAATAAAAATAGCATAGACTTTGTGGGGATCTGAGGCACGCTTGCCACCATTTTGCGGGCATTCTCGCTGTATGGCCGCTCCCTTGCCTTCTCCTGTTGCTCGTAACGGCACATGGTGATAGATGGCGCGGCGGCACATGTTTTGAGGGACTGCGAAAATCAGCAAGGCCGACCCAAGTGCGCGTCATAGATCTCTCTTGGTTGGCCGGCGCCTGGTAAGCACGTGGTTTTCCTTTGCATGCATCTCCTTTGAGAATCGCCGGACTATAGCCTGCCTAAGCGCCTAGGCATCCCTGGCGGGCATGTTTACCTGAGTGTTAGCTTCGGTACCATGCTCCAAGCCAAACAACGGTGCCTAGTGGTTGAAGCGGTCGCACCAGGCCAAGCCACACTTGCCGTAGGCCTACGTGTACGATGTTTGTCCTAACTCTTGCGACCAGGCCCAGTGGCCATCGTGAGAGTGCGCAGCATAGCCGCGAGAGACCTTTTCCCGACCGGCGCGTCAAAGCTCGTTATTGCCAGCTGCGACGTGCTTGCGACCTCCCCTTTATCATGAACGTCGATGTGCGGGAGCTTTTGTTCCCCGTGTCCCGGGAGCCAATGTTGTACTGTCGTTTGGTAGTGCCGCCAAAGGCAATAAAGTGTTTGTGTATTGCTGTCAATCGAACACTGTCTATTCTGCCGCGCTGCACTGAACGCTTTGTTAGTTGAGCCCGCTCGGAGACGTGTGCTACACATGAGTATGTGACGAAGACGCGGCTCTGTGGCTCGCTAAGCCTCAACTCGCAATGATCTTCCGCTACGGTGAGTAGCAAGGTCACCACACTGGCGCCCAACGCGGTATTAAAGGCTCAACAAGCCTTTGATTAGACTTAACCGAGTCAGCCCGCCTTTGCGAATTAGGCTTGCCTCGTCTTCCCATGTTATGTATGCTATGCGTGAGTTTTGTCTGCTGACACATTTAGCAGATACCGCTCTGCTCGGAATAGGGCTACCCCCTTGAGCATCACAATCGAGCACCCTCACCTGTCTAAAGCCCCAATCGGGATGATGCAAGTCACTACGTAATATCTCTCAGGAGAGGGAGGGTGTTCTGGGTTCGAGGCCATAACCAAACCCAAGCAGTGCACTCGAGAAAATTTGACTGCTATTGCTTCCTTTGGTATGCATGGCAGTTTTATGTCGCAGCGCTCCCAAATGGCTCTCAGTTGAGCTTCCGGGGCGCATATAGAAAACGCGGCCTCAGCTGTTGCCGAATTTCGCCCGCTGGCTGTTATGCAACCTAGCAGCCCGTCTCACTTCGAGCACGCGTCTGTGCCGCTAGCCACAAGTGGCCTAGCCATTTCATGTGAAGCTGCCCCAAGAGGCAGCTATGAAGAATAGGTGGTCCCTAATGGCGCAACGGCCGGTATTCATTTCTAAACCTTGGCACTTATCGAGCTTGGAGATAGTTCCACATTGCTCGCCCGCGCCGCCAATGCACTGACAGCTTCCTTTAAAGTGGGTGCACAGATGCTGCTGCTGAATGCCGCCCAAATAATTCAGGCACTCGAGGGGGCAGTCCAAACGTTTTCAGCCATTCTGAAATGCCCTCATCTCGCTGTCATTTGGCCGTTCTGACCTACAGCGGATATCGT